TGCACCCAGCGCTGCCTGAGACGGAGGCCCTCGGGGACGGGGATGGGGATGGGGATGCAGCTCAGTGCTCGTCCTCCGTGCTCCTCCGTGGCGTTGGAGCGCGACTGCCGCAAGGCCATAGGTGGCAGAGACGCCAGGGCGGTGGCAGCCGCGCCGCAGCCCTGCGCTACCATCCCGTCACTGCTTTGCCTCTCCATGCCCAGGCTCTCATCCCATGCCATAGTCAACCTCGCACCATCTCCCAGACTTGGACCAGGCCCTCATCTTCCCTTGTAACTGAGAGCCTCCCCACTGCCGCCCCTGTCCCCGCGGCCCTCCTGGACGTTGCCACTGGTTTGCTCGATGAGATCCTCCTGTGAGTGATGAGGAAGGGTCTGCTCCCCACCCAAAGTGAAGTTCCCGCTGTAGTGAGTCAGGTCCCAGACCACACGCGCAGAAATAAATTTCACTATTCATGGTGAAAGCAGTAGGTCACAGACCCAGGGCCCTCTGGCTTTCCTGGCATGGATAAATTGGTTTTTGTAGCTCATTTATTCATTCTACATTTCAGAAGTAACCCTATAGAAAATTCACACAGTGGGGCCTCTCAGTGCCTAAAGAAAGGGTTTTAAAAGTAATAAAAACCCAGAGAATGTGAACAAATGGCAAGAGCTCGCTGCACCTCAGCCCAGACACAGTGTTAAGGCACCATTCCAGCAGCACGGTGTGGAAAGAGCCACAGCGTTGGTGTAACCCCATGTCCAGGGCAGCCGGGGAGGCCTTGGTCAGTGGTGCTCACCAAAGGCTGCTCCATCGGCCCCATCTGGTGCTACTCCGTGCGTGCAGCGTTGATCCGCCAGCACTGACATTAGCAAGCGTGCCGTGTCACAGCATCTGCGTGAAGTGGATCGATCCTCATTTGGTACGGAGGGCACAGAGCTCTGCAAGCAGCAGCTGCCTGTTTGGTAGCAGAGTTTCCTCCAGAAAGACACCAGTGAACCGCGGGTGACCTTCGGAGAGCCCTGGCCAAGCTGTGCCTGCGGAGCTTTCCTCCACCCAGCCCTGTGGTCTGCTCCAAGTTCCTGTCAAGACCTGAAGTCCTTGGAATGCCTCTCCTACCCTTACCTGCACATTTTAGCAGCATCGTAGGCCGTAAGGAAACTGCTTGCTCATAGTTGGTGTTGAGAACTAAGAAGTCCCGTTTGGTGACCATTTCGGTAGAAGGCCATGAACCTCATTCGTGCCTGCCACAAGCGCTTCCTCCTCCTCTGTAAATTCCTCTGCTGATCTGACTGCCCAGCTGTCCCAGGCCAAATCTTCTTCAGAGAAGGAAGAGAGGCAGAAGGACCCATGCACAGGCTGAGCTCTGCTCATTGGCACCCTTTACCAGTGGCCTTTATGCTGCTGAAAGGACCCCTGGGGGCCACCGCTCCTGGGGCCAGAGACTGAGCAGCCACCGCAGGTGCAGCGCCCGAGCTGGAAGTGCAAGAAAAGGCAGAAAGCCACGAGCAGGGGTGGATTTATAGCAGGAGATGTTCACGAGCCAAGTCTGAAACTGCTGATTTACAGTTCTGGAAGCAGAAGAATGGACTGGAAGATGCAATGGGAAAGCCCCCAATCCCAGTGAAGAGATTAAACTGGTCCCCACTTCTGAGTACAGAACCTCCCCTTCTGCTGTTTGCTGGTGTCTCCATGGTCCAGAGGTTTGAATGAAGGAGAAAGTCCCTGACATTTCTGACTTTTTAACTTGAATTCCCTCAACCACGTCGTTGCGATTCCTTGTGCTCATCCAATAAACTGTTTACTGCAGCTTATAGTGTGCCAGGATGGCAGGGAAATGGCTGGAGATTCACTTCCTCAGCCTTGCGATGTGGCTGGAAAACATTTCAGCAGTGCCATTTGCAGTCCATGCCCTGGGACTGAGCTGTGGCTCGCTGCCCCCGTGAGTTCCCATAGCCACACGAACAAACCTGGAGGTGAACTACTGGGATGCTGAGCATTTAAACCTCTCCAGCATTGCCAGTGAGGTGCAGAACAGGAGTTGTTCCCAGCCCCAGGTCCCAACTGCTCCGGTACCTCAGATTTGTTTGCTGCTGTTTGAGCAGCATGGGAGAGGGCTTGCTTGAAGGAAATTCTCTCTCTCCAGCTTCGTGACCATTTCTGTTTCAGGTTTTTCTTTTGTCATGGTTGTATGTTTCATTGTAGGCCCCTTCTCCTGTGAACCCCAATGCCCTGGACCGCACTGCTGCTTGGCTTTTGAATATGAACATGCAGTTTTTAGAAGATGAAAGCATTGACCCAGATTCCAAGCACAGGGATAAGCTCAGGAATAAGGACGAGCTCAGCCAAGCAGAAAAGGTAAAACCTGATTGGATTGAAACAAGTTTCTAAATAGAGAGAGGATTTCCTTGACTGTCGTTCATCTGAGCACCCTGGGGCAAGCAGGGCTGTGTGGCACGTCCCTGCCCAGGAGAGGGGTGCCAAGGTGCTCCATGCCCTGCTCGGCACAGGGCGCTTTGGGGAAGGTTTGGGAGGTTTTCACACACTCAGGACCAGAGTTACCCAATGGTGGGAGCAAGTCAGAAAAACAGGAGCCAGGAACCGAGTGCTGGTGCTGCTCTGCTGCAAACCCCGAAACCAGGCAGCGCCAGTTACCTCCCTCATTCGTGCTCCCCCCGGCTGCAGGGGAAGAAAGCTTAAGAAGTGAATTAAGCTCCCCTCTAAAAGAGGTGAGCAGGGAAGAGACAGAGTAAGCCCGGCCAGGGGTGAAGGAGGGTTAGAAATACGCATCCGGCAGGCAAGAGCTTTGCTGTGAGGTGCAATGCCGAATGGCCGCACACTGAGAACCGTGTGCTGGCCTTCTCCAGCTCCCACGGGTGGGCAGATGGCCCTGCGGCGCAGAGACGCTGCGTGCCAAGCGTTGTCACTGATCCTGGCTCCATTTCCTGCAGAGCGGCTCAGCCGTTACCAGGTGGGCACGCACAGGCCCCGCTCTGTTGCTGTGCCAGCCCCAGAGGCTGCTGCCCCCAGGACAGGCCCTGCTCAGGGCAGACCATGGTGGGAGCACAAACTGGTGGTACTGCAGAAACCAGTCTCTGTCTGAGCTCAGAGGGAGCCCCCCCGCCCAGGAGCCCACTGTCTCATCCCCATGCAGCATCTTCTGTTACTCTGCTGTCACATCAGTCACTGGCATCAAAGATCACCATTAGCACAACCTCTCCCCATTACCGTAAGACGTGAATGGTAACCGAGACTGAGACGAGCGCTCTGGGCACTGGAGCGGCTCCTTCGGTCTCTGAGGCCTCTCCTGCCATCATTTGCGCTCACTTTCGCTGCTCCCATTTTCAGGCTAGGGTAGGTATTTAATCTTTCCTGTTCGAGCAGCTCCCTTCTGTCTGAATTCAGTGTTTCTGTGTAATTGTACGGGCATTTGTGCTCCCTCATCGCTCCAGGTTATGCCTGCAAACGGTGTCGCTGCAGTGAAAGCTTTGCCAAAGGGAAAAACCAGTGTGGTCTGTTGTGCCTGGCCATATTTTCACTGGCCGAGTCAAGGCATGATTAGACACATTCCTGTCAGGTCAGGAGTGACACTCGTAGCTTTGTGACAGCCTTCGTGCCTCAGATGGAAGCCTTTTTCCATATCTGATTCTTGAAAAGCAGCTTGGCAAATTATCAGCTGCATGGTAATTCTAAGGTTATGGTAATTCTAAGGTTATTCCAGTTGAGATTTTTTAAAAATACTATTATTTCCAAAGACAGGTTTTTTTGAAATTAGAGTGGGTTTTTCTTCCTTGTATAGAAAACACTGGATTTTCCTTTAGCACAGCAAGTTGTACTGAATGCTGTGCTTCTGCAGTAGCTGAACCCAGTTTTACTGAGTTAGAAAGCTCTTAATTTCTTTTAATTGCTTTATGTGATTCTTCCGCTGCTGATTTTTAGCTTCATCTGAATGAACAGTACAGCTGTGGGGTCTTGGCTTCATGCAGCAGCTCTTCTCAGATCAAACCCTGGTTTGGCATCTGATTGCATTGTTTCAAATGCTGGGCCCTGAAATGCATGGCTTCCAGCAGCTCCAAAACAGCCACGTTTACTGTTGTAGCCCAAAGAGCTCACGTGTAAACCCAAAACCCCACCAGCGCAGCTTCTCCTGCCTGTGTCCAGCCCCGAGCTGGTGTTGTGAGGAAGACGCCGGCTGCTTTTCCCTTGGCTCGCTCTAACCCATGTGAAATGCCCGGCTCTGCTAACAGCCCCTTCTCTGAACCTGCCAGCGACCTGCGCCCGTGGGACCCAGCATCGCTCCTAGCGCAGAGCTGAGAAGACCGAAGAGGAGGTGTTGGCAAGCGGGGTTGTCTGAGACGGGTTTGCAGATAGTCTAATGCAAGAACAGGGGCGTCATTGGGTTTTGGGGACACCCTGGCGAGGGCACAGCCCTGCGAGGTAACACACCACATGTTTTCTCCTCCTTGCGTGCTGTAGTACCAGCAGGACCTGGTGGTGCTGCAGGACAAGCTCCGTATCTCCAACAAGAAGCTGGAGGAGTACGAGACGCGCTTCAAGTGCCAGGAAGAGACCACGCAGAAGCTGATGCTGGAGTACCAGGCCAGGCTGGAGGAGAGCGAGGAGCGGCTCCGGAGGCAGCAGGAGGACAAGGAGATCCAGATGAAGGGCATCATCAGCAGGTACTGGGGAGGTGGGCATGCTGGATGGCAGTAAGGTGGGCAGCAGGGCTTGAAATAGAGCTGAGCCCTGCTCGGGAGGTGCAGGCAGGTTTCCCAGAGGGTTTTCAGCATTTATTGATTTCTGCCCTTCTGGGTTACAGCCCTTGGGGGTGTTTCAGGCCCTCACTGTTTGGGTCCCCTCATCACTTGTAACCTGGGATATTTTCCTGGTTCACAAAGGCAAAACTTCAGCAGCAGGGAGCTGGCAGCTGCCCCAGTGCTTGAAGGACCTGGCTGGCTCTTCTGTTCATAGGAGCAATGGATGTGACACAAGGACGAGTGTCAGGAGGAAGGAGCCAGGCTCTGCTCTGGGATGTCCAATGCCAGGACAAGGGGCAGTGGGTGCAAGATGGAGCACAGGAGGTTCAGCCTGAATATGGGGACAAACTTTTTCACTGTGAGGGTGACAGAGCATGGCCCAGGCTGCCCAGAGAGGTTGTGGAGTCTCCTTCTCTGCAGACATTCAAAACCCACCTGGACACGACTGTGTGACCTGGTCTGGTGATCCTGCTCTGGCAGGGGTTGGACTGGATGAGCTTTCGAGGGCCCTTCCAACTCCTGATATTCTGTGATTCTGTGATGTGTAGCTAAAGATCTCATCACCGTCCCATCACTCCTGGCTATAAATCCCTTTCTCCCACCTGGTGGGATGTGATGTTTGTCTTTATCTGGGACGTAGACTGTTCCAGCGCCGCTGCCTTCACCTTTACCTGAGCCAAGTCAACTTTGTGCTTCTAATCTGCCCTTGGACAAGGTGGTTTGACCTGGTGTGGATGATGGGGGCTGCCGTGAGAGGCCAGGTCTGGCTGTAGGCTGGCTTCTCTGGTATCTCACATCTCTGCCTATGTGTTTTGGAGATGCACATCCCTCCTTTGCTTCCTTGGTGCCAGGGACTAAATGAGGACATGATCTGGGTGGTTCATGTAGCTGTGTATGAGGCGAATAGCTGCAGAGCCTAGCAAATGTCTTTTTTTTTTTCTTGTCTATTGGGCCACCAGGCTGATGTCAGTTGAGGAGGAGTTAAAGAAGGACCATGCAGAAATGCAGGCTGCCGTGGACTCCAAGCAGAAGATTATCGATGCACAGGTGAGTCTCCGATGCCAAGGGCCCCAGCACTTTGCAGGGCAAGGCTGCCAAATTGCAGCCCCTGCCATGTAGCAGCTCCAGCCCTGGCTTGCTGACACTGCTTGGGGTGAGCGGGCACTGAGCCGTGTTGGTGACAGAGCCCGTCAGACTCCAGATGCCATTTATTGTCACCTCATGGGTACAGCTGGATCCAGCCTTGGGGCCTGGCAGGACACAGAGGATGGGGGGTGCAGTTTGTAGGAGGATCGTGCCCACAAGTCCCAGTTTGTGGGAGGATCATGCCCACAGTTCCCAGTTTGTGGCTGGATCCTATCCTGTTGGCTCAGCCCGAGGTCCCTGGAGCGTTGCTTGGTACTCCATGTCCAGTGATGCTGGCAGGACCCAGGGCCAAGGAGCACCCAGCCTGGCCAGAGAAAGCCAACATCCTTTTTGGGTTGTGGCTTGCAGGTTAGGGAAGCTCAGTTATCTATGGATTAAAATGGCAGAGGTAGGGTGCACACACTGTGCTTAGAAAAAGGAATCTGAAAATACGGTCCATGGTCTTTTCATTTATCGAGGCAGAGACGGCATCTTCCCTGCAGTGAGGCCTTCCTCCAGGTTGTGACTAGGTGACAGTGTACTCCAGGCTTACTCTTAACAACCCTATTAATCACTTGTGAGTCACCACTCATGACTAATTTACTGTACAGCTAATTAAAAAGGACATGAGACAATTTGCAAAAAGAACCACTGTTTTTCTGTAGAGTAGTGTGTTCAAGGCCAGTAAATCATCACATTCCCATCTGCACCCCAGCAAAGCCCAGCAGACACCAGGGCAACCGTCACGTTCAAAAATTACCCCTTCAGAGTCACACACAGACAGACTTCTGTGCTGCTCTGAGCTGGCTCTGTCCCCTCCGCCTGTGGCAGCAGAGATGGTGAAGGCTTGTTCAGTGTCACAAAGAACAGCAGAGGCAGAGCCGGGTTGCAACAGGGAGGCTCCTGCTGCCATCCTTGCAGTGCTGTAATTGGTGAGAGCTCCCATCAAAGCCATCCTGAGAGGCCACAAGGCATTCAAACTATTAATTTACACTAACGAAATCAATTAAAAACCGACAGGAAAAACTGTCTTGGGAGAGCTCGAGTTTCAGAAAAGGAATCTTATCGTCTTTGCAACAGCCACAGTTAGAGCAAGCAGTGCAGTGAATTTCTGTGTAACTGAAGAATGAGAGAAACTGTGTTCTCTCTGTTTTCTTAGGCTGCTGACATGAATTTCACTCACATCACACAGTACATTTGTGCCCCTGCTAATAGCAGCGGATGTCAAAAAATGCTGTGTAGCACTTAAAAAACCTACACCAAAGAGAAGGGTCCTGGTCCCGGGGGCCAGGGGTCGCTGTCGCAGGACCAGCCCTGGCATCACGGCGGGACAGGGGCTCCGTGCCTTCCCACTGACCCTTCCCCTCTGGTTGCAGGAGAAACGCATTGCTTCACTGGACGCTGCCAACGCACGGTTAATGAGTGCCCTTACTCAGCTGAAAGAGAGGTACAGCATGCAGACACGTAATGGGATCTCCCCCACAAACCCAACTAAATTGCAGATTACAGAGAATGGAGAATTCAGAAACAGCAGTAATTGTTAACCCGCGGAGGCTGCTGCCGCAGGAGAGGAGGCCTGGCCAGAGACCGTGCAGCAGCAGGTGAAGAGCGGCTGCTCCCCCCCAGGAAACCGGCTCCTTCCTTACTGCGGACGGCGCGCGCGACACAGCCTTGCTGGGAGATGCTAATGCCAGCGCTGTGAGGGGACGGAGAGCTTGAGTGTGAGATGAGTGGCATAAGGAAATAACACCTCTTTGAGAATCGCTGTCACTGTTGGATTTCAATCAGTGTTTAATGTTCAAACACAAGTAACCTTTTCCTTCTAAACTGCCCAGAGGCTACGCCTCACCCCTCCCAGCAAGGAATAACGCCCTCGGCGTTGCAGTCAGCCAAATAAAGGGCGCTGGGCAGAGCCCGCACCAGTGGGTCCAGTTAGAGCGTGCTACTGGGTGTAGCTATACGAGGGCTGGCCGCAGAGCTCAGCACCCAGCTCCTGTGCCTCCCCACGGAGCACAGCCCCTGCCCAGAGCCTCCCTGGGCCCAGCCTTTCCCTCTGGGCTGTCCTGGGGCCGCTGACTTTGGCAGGGGGTGACTGCCTGCCGGGCATTTACACAGCTAATTAGTGTTAATTAACTCTGCCCATATGGGGGGCACAGCCCAGACAAAAAGTGAGGGCACACCCTGTGTGGTGCGGTAGCCAAAGGGGAACCATGAGAAGGGCTGGGGGTCCCAGGGAGCAGAGCCAGCCCCAGGAGCTGGCACTGGTGAATTTGAATTGAGTCCTCTCTGTAGCTTCTGCTCACGTAATGAGGAAGATTTTTTGTAAGCAATAACCCTGCCCCCGGGTGCTGTCGTCCCCCCCAGTTCTCAAATAAAGTCAGCGTTGGCTGCGCGTGGTCCCCGAGCCGTGGATGGGGACAGGGGCTGGATTTCCTGGTGCCCCTTGTGGCAGAGGGGGAGTGAGGGGCTACGTGCAATGGCCAACTTCTTGCTTGAGGAAGGGTGCATTGTGGGGATGTAATGCTCTGTGCGGAGATTTTTTACTGTTTCTGGGGAGAAAAACAGACAAAGAAACAAGAAAAAAAGCCCTGAAGAACCATGAAGATCGGTAATTGTATTTCTTTTCTTTCACAGTATGCATTAGAAAAAAAAAGATCCCATTTTCTGGAATACTGTCCTCTTTAAATTGGGAATGAGCACTGCATGGAAATTAACCGGCTCGAAGAATGTAAAACATGGTCATAAGGGAGTAACCAACAGGAACAGCAGCCACCACCGAAAGCCCCCTTGTCAGGAGCACTGTGCAGGCATAAGCCAGGATTAGACTTTCCCAACTGCTGAAACACGCAGATTCGGCACATTCAGACACGTTGTGCTCAGCGGAGGGGTCACCTCCTTACCGGGGGGTTGTGCCGCTGACGGCCGCCACGCTGTGTTTGTTGGTTTGTGGGTTTTTTTTGGTTTTTTTTTAAGTTAGCACTTCCTGCGTCCCCCTCTCAGAGCAGGTCGCTCGTACCCAGAGCCAGGTTTCTCTGAGACACGGATGCCAGTGTACAGTGTACAGGACTGCCTATTCCTCCCTCTGATCTTTAATACTCTGCTCAACGCCTGTCCTAGCCCCCCCTGCCATGCCTAAATGTACAGCCCCAGGGACTAGGACCTTCCCTGAGCTTAGGCACCGTCTCCAGCCTCACCCTCCCTAGGCTGCCGGAGCAGGACACTGGTTCCCAGTAAGCTCTGCATTGCCGTAAGGCTCATTAACAGCATCCTTCCACATGCAATTGCTTTCAGGTTAAGAAAATAAAAATCTTTAATTCTGTTTTTCTGTTCCCCGGAAGCCCTGGGCCCAGCGCAGCGCGGGTCGGGCCACGGAGGAGCGACCGGGGTGCGCTGAGGTCTCCACACCCGCCAAGGCCTGCAGAGGGGCGCAGCACCCCCAAACGGAGCTCCTCGCAGCACAGCTGTAACGTAACCATTTATGCCAAGCCCAGGCACCTTTGAATTTCGGAGACTAGCACAGATGGCACGGAAGAACCTGACCAAACTGACGAGGTTACAACGAGAAAGCCGCAGAGAGGGTAGGAATGCGCAGGGTGCTGTGAACGGATGGGGCCGTGCACTCACATCTGCCATTGGCTCAGTCACTGTCACAACCCTGCAAAAAAAAAAGACTCTTCTTTTAACCGGTTGTTGTGCCAAGATGTACATACAGAGCTGATGGGTTTTGAGTTCCAAAATACGTGTGTTGCGAGAGGCAGAAGGTTTTCAAGAGAGAAGGAACATAGAGGAATGGAAACACTTGCAGGGCACCCCACCAGCATCGTGTTTCCATTCATAGATGGAAGGAATTTTGGGGTGCTGTCCATAAGAGCTGGAAAAAGCAGCACCCACAGAACAGTTGTTTAGGACTGACACTAAACACAGCACATCTGCATCTCCTCAGCTTAAACCAAGGCACTGCTCCCCCTCGATCTGTCAGAAACTCCTGGGTAACCTCCAGCTTTCCAACTGCTGAACACCCCTTGTTCTGCCGAAGTGGCAGAAATGCTTAAAGCCTTCCACAGCCATTTGCTACAAATCCTAAAAAATCCCAGTGCAAACCCCTTCAGGAGCTGTTCCTTAGGTTCCTGAGCCAGTATGAAAAGAAATCCCAAATCAGGATGAAGTCTTGTTGCAGTAGATTCCCCTACACACACTTATTCCCATCTTCTTGACCCAGCTGTTGTCAGCTGGGCCTTGGGGTAGGTTTGAGATCCAGGCTCATTCAGTTCTGTAATTCAGGTTGTGTTCATTATTTATTGTACATTGCTGTGTGTGTGTGTGTGTGTGTGTGTGTGTGTGAGTGCCCAGGGTCCCCGCCATGGCCCGGGACCCAGTGTCTGGCGTAGCAATAGCAGAGGCGGCCCCGAGAGAGCAGAGCACCCCTGGCCATCGCGGTTCGGCACCGGCTCCCTTTTCTTTTCCGTTCTTGCGCTTTCTACAGTAAGAAGCTGTTCCAGTGCAAACGCATCAAAAGTGGAAACGAAACAAAACCACCCTCAGATTTTTATCTTAATACAAGTCTTACTATTTTTTGTAAATGTTTTCAGTGTTTACTGTACTGTATCTATCTCACTAACAGTTGTATATAGTAACTTACTTCTGGTGCTGCTTATTTGGTCAGGATTTGGCTGTATCTCACTGCTGTTTTGGAGGTGGGCTCACGTCGGCAAATCTGGATCCAGACACGGGTCATGATTTCAGCCTCCTCCCTTTGGGGAGCTGAGGGCAGGGAGAGAAGCCAGGGATCCAGATTTGGGGTGGGTCCACCTCGAGGGTTCTGTTTTGAAAGTTTTTAATTTGGGGTTTTGTTAAACTGTAGTGAACACTTCTGAAAAAACAACGAGCAAACTTCTGTGTCGAAGGGGACAAAATGGCCTGACCAGCATCCCAAGGTGTCGTTAAGTACAATTTGGACAGGGATTGTGGCTTCAGTGCCAGAAGAGCGGAAGGACCCACGTCCCTCCCCATGCCAACTACTAAATACTCCAGTGTAGTCACCAGCCCCTTTCTCACTACTTTAAGCAAATCCTGCCGCCATCCAAAGAGCCCCGTGTCACCGCATCATCATTTGAGTCTGGTTGGGTCCCCCCCGACCCCGCTCTTGCAGCTGTAAAGCCCCGATTGCACTGTGAGCACACCCCGAGTCCTCTGGCCTGGCCGCCAGCCCTGCGGGGTGCTGCAGGGTGCAGGACACGGGGGCTGCTCCTAAAGGGAGAAGGGACTCAGTGGAGAGGAGCAAGGCACCCCTGGCTCTCCTAGGACAGCACCAGCGAGTGATTGACCATTGCCAAAGCTGAGAGTGCTCATAGACTCTCCCCTTTGACCGATGTCCAGAGGCAGACGCACCAGAACACACAGCGAGGGCTGGTCTGTGGTCAGCAGAGCGATTTTGCTCACAGAGCTGGAGCACGCAGTGATGCTCTCAGCCGGGACAGCCACGAGCTGCAGCTCAGGTTGGATCGGGAAGGGGCTCCTTGTCCCAGCGGTCCCAGGGCAGGGGGAGCAGCCCCTGGAGACGCCTCCCTGACAGCAGCACCAATGTCCCGGGGTGTCCCCAGCTCCATCGCCATCACTGCCCGTCCGCAACGCGTGGCTCTGCCTGGAGAGCGTGAAGCAGAGGGTGCAAAGGGCTGACGTTGTCCCTGGGGAGGGCCCCTGCAGCGCCCGTCCTTCCCACCCACAGCGACTGTGGGGCCCACCTCATCCCCAGAGCAGCCCAGGACTCCATCCTGGCCAGCACTGGGACCTCATGGCCACCTGGAGGTCCCTGCACTGGCCCAGGAAGGGGCACTGCCCACCTCCAAGGAGGTCTCTGGCTCTGGAGGGCCATTGCAGAGGAGAAAGCGCGGCACGGCCCCACTCCAGCCCTGCCCAGGGAACTGCTGCCTTTTCCTGCCCCCTTGGGGAAATCGCACATTGGGAAGAGGGAGGGCACCAGCAGCACCCTCACACACAGCACCCGGGCTTTACATCCCAAACCCGATGCTGAGGGCGTTGCACAGTGTTCAAAAACAAACCCCGCTTTGGCAAAGGGTGTCACGTTTGAGTGCTGACGCTCGAGGTCCCCGGGCCGTGACATTGCTGTAAATGCCGTGTGGTTCTGCATCAGCTGCCGGTACCCAGAGTGCAGGCTCCATCTTCACGTATTCCTTTATCATCACTGTGTCTTAAGATATACCTCTCTCTGTATATCTGCTTAGGCTGATACTTGTTCCTGATAAGCAGTCGCTATGTTTTATATCCTCTTATAAAGAAAAACAGATTTTTTTTGTAAGTATGTTTAAAAAAAAAACAACAAAAAAAGCAAAGTGGAAGTGTTTGCTGAATGTCCTTCAGCTCCTTTTAAACTATGTAATAATGTACAGAGAAAGTTGTTGGTGTTCAGAGAAATGATGTGGCCGTGCAATTTATGTACATTTGCAATTAGAAATATTAAAGATTTATTTAGATATTTTACATAAGTGTTCCAGCACCTCTACTCAGTCATTTCCAGGTTTTAGTGTGTCCTGGCCATGCCCACACAAGAATATTTCCCTCCTCTGTCCCCCCAGAGTGATCGGGCCGTGCCCACCCC